GCCTTTGCAAGTCTAACAGGGTGGAAATCAGAGAGCCTTAAAATGCTTTAGCAGGCTTAAAGGAAAGAAGGAAACATGCTTTCCTTAACACCCCCTCTTTCAATTATTTAGCTAAATAAAAGCCCCCATTGTGCAGAAAGGAAACTGATGGCATACCCTACTAGGGTAATGAGACGTCTGCAAGCAAATTACCATGGTTTGAGAGCACCAAAGACTCCTCAATGACACAGATAACAGATGAACCAAGTTGGAAGGGGCCTTGTAGCTCATCTAGTCCAACCCCCTCCCCAAGCAGGAGACCCTACCCGATTTCTGATAAATGGCAGTCCAATCTCTTCTCGAAGGCCTTCATCACTGGAGGCTTTCAAGAAGAGAGTGGACTGCCATTTGTCAGGAATGGTGTGGGGTCTCCTGTTTGGGTGGGGGGTTGGACTAGATGACCTACAAGGTCCCTTCCAACTCTGATTATCTGTATCTGTATTTACCTGAAGGATGGCAGGCAAAGCCAGTTCTGGGAAACCAATCGTGTAGGCCTGGCTGTGGAGATATTCTAAAGTTAAATCATACAGCTGTTCGAGGAGGCCGTCCTGGGAAGAAGAAGAATAAATAAATAAACCACTCAAAATTTGAAAAGGGATCTCGAAGGCCAACTTCCCACCTCAGGACGGGTGCAACCAATAAGCATTCACAACCCAAAAATAGAGTTAAATCGATGTTTTTCCCCCCCAACTTGGCTACTTTAAGCAGTCGCCTGGGGAATTCTGGCCATTGAAGTCCACACATTCCCTCTCCCTTGTTCTACCTCTTCCCTGCTCTGCCCAGCCGGATTTTGCCCTTCCACAGCCAACCGAGCCACACTCCCACTCCCTGTCAGCTGCTTGGCCTCCCCCTCCGAATCGGATTCCGACAGGGGGCATGACAGTTACCAAGTTTGGATGGATCTCCCTTAAAATATAAAAAAGCTGCCCACTTCGTCTTCCGTCAACTCACCCGGAAAGCTTTCTCCTGCAGGTTGGCGTTGGAGAGCTTCAAGATGACGGCAAAGTTTATTGGCTTGGCGCTCATTCGCCCCGGTTTCTTGTTGAAATCTACCTGTTGGAAAATCTGTGGAGGAACAAAAAGCAAACCGAACGGAAAGGTGAAAAGAAGGGAAAAGAAGGTGTGGGAAGATACAGCTAGCAAATTTTGGATTTTGTCAAGTCTAGGCTGGCTGTCTTATATGGCCACTTTGATTGTATCCAGCCTGCAGAAGTGAACTTGATGTAGGTTGGGTTTTTTTTTTTTTTTAAATAGTTCTCTCTTGGATTGTCCCAAAAATGCTTTTTGGTCTTTCTTGGTTTTTTTTGTTTTTCTTTTGAAGACGTTTCGCTTCTCATTCAAGAAGCTTCTTCAGTTCTGATTCAACGGTGAGGAATGGAAGGATTTATCTTCCTTGCAGACAGCTGGTCATTTGCGTCCTTTTAAGAGGGTCATGGAGGCCCCTTGGAGGCTTATCTGTGTCCTCGGGGTCAGCTGCACGGTGCAAATGGCTCCTGCAGTCTGCAATTTATTTTTCCCCTCTGGAAATCCAGCCCTAGTCCCACACCGTTCCAAGGGCGTCCATCCCAAATTGTCTTCAGAAGAAAAACAAAGGAATGACAGTCTCTACAGTCTCTCTTGGATTGCATTCACTCCTGCCATACAACCTGTCGGAGTATATTCATGGACTGGAATAGAGAATAGAAACACGGGTTGGACTCTGAGTCTGTCTATTGAAAATGAAACTGTTTCTGTCCTCTGCTGTGTATAACGGTTGCGTGCTGAACTAAAGTGAAACCGATGTCTGTTTTCTGAGCTCCTAATTTGCTACGGAAGTTACTTAACAAAATGTTTCTATCTGAGTTTGCTCCCTGTTGGAGAAATCTACAACTGGTTTGTGAAATCTATGTTTATAAAGACATTAAATGAAGCATCAGCCAACTGTGTTTATTTTTCTGGTGCTGAGTTAACGCTGCAAAACTCTACGTCTAGTTTAACGAAAAGAAGGACTAGGGGCGACATGATAGCACTGTACCAATATTTGAGGGGCTCCCCCGAAGAAGAGGGGGTCAAGCTATTCTCCAAAGCTCCCGAAAAAGCAACAAGAAGCAACGGGTGGAAACTAATCAAGGAGAGAAGCAACCTAGAACTAAGGAGAAATTTGCTGACAGTTAGAACAATTAACCAGTGGAACAACTTGACTCCAGAAGTTGTGCATGCTCCAACACTGGGAGTTTTAAGAAGAGATTGGACAACTGCTGGTCAGAAGTGGCGTTAGGGTTTCCTGCCTGGGCAGGGGGTTGGACTAGAAGACCTCCAAGGTCCCTTCCAACTCTGTTAGTCTATATTCTATTGCTATGCTAAATTTCCTCCCACCCTCCTTCCCTATTAATGCTGCTCCAAATTTATTCTCATCCAAATATCAGCTCTGCCCCCCCCGCCCCCACATCAATATAAGGCTGTGGACCCATCGATCGAGATATTAAAAAATAAAAGGCGAACGATCGTGATATCCCTCCCTGTTCGGGCAAGTCCTTTTTTTCCCTGCACCGTCTCCCCTCTCTCTCTCTCTCTCTCTCTCTTTTCACACAGCTCGGTCTTTGCCAGAGAGCAGGGCGGCGATGCCGCGGGGAAGCAGGGAGGGGGCCCCCGCCCCCGCTTCTCCGTGCCAAGAGAAGCATAAACTGTCAAGGCACATCACCGATTTCCTGCTCATTTCCAGTGACAGCAGCTTGGGGAATATTCGGCAGTCCTCCGAGGGACCTCACAAGACGCTGGAGCTGTCAAGAGTGCCGGTGACAAAGCGAGGAGGGGAGGAAGCCAAGCCAAGGGGGTTGGGGAGGGGGAGGATAACAGAAGGGGGGAGGATTGCATGAGGTTGCTCCGGAGGAGAAGAACCGGAGGAGAAGAACCGCAATCCCAGCCAAAGGTTTTTGCAAATTAGAATAGAATAGAATTCTTTATTGGCCAAGTGTGATTGGACGCACAAGGAATTTGTCTTGGTGCAAATGCTCTCAGTGTACATAGGATAGGATAGGATAGGGATAGGATAGGGATAGGGATAGGAAAGGAAAGGAAAGGAAAGGAAAGGAAAGGAAAGGAAA